GTGTGTGTGTGTGTGTGTGTGTGTGTGTGTGTGTGTGTGTGTAGTGTGTGTGTGTATTCGGGCGGGTGCGAGCATGAGAGTGAGTATGTATGTGCTTGTATACTTTCGTGCGTATGTGCGCGCCAGTGTAATAGATATGTAAGAAAGAGAAAGGTGTAGCGGTCAGGGAGGAAGACAAATTCTAACATAATTTTCCAACAAACATGAATTACATCAAGAAGCAAAAACACACAAAAAACAACAACAAAACAACAACAACAACAACAACAGCAGCAGCAACAACAACAAAAAGCCTTGGATGCCCTTGAGAGCTTTGTTCATGACCTTGCTCAGCTCGGCCTCCTGTCTCCAGGAGTAAGCACTCTGGGGACAGGCAGGTGTTCCAATAAAAATTGTTATCCTGAAAGTGAACAAGTAAAAAAGGTTGATAAATTCTTTTGATGACCTCTGTGTATGAATTAAGTGCTTTTATATCCCCCAACGATATAATTTGAATAATTAAGAGGCGGGCTTCCACAATGTCTGTCAGGGCCAATCCGGGCTGAGAGGTTTCCAACAACCTAGCAAAAAACTCAAGATACTCGATTATTTAAATACCCTCCCCGCTTGTGAATCGAACTCGCGTCTCCTGTGTGCAACAGTCAAACGCCTAACCGCTACACCAAAGACGCTGATCCTTTTTTTTTAAAAGAGAAAATTGATCCTTCGAAGATGGAGAGCTGTGCTCAAGGGGAAGAGTATAAAGGAAGCGAAGAATAAGAGACATGTTCAACTAATTAGCAGACGAGCACAACTGGGATCATAAGTTCATGATTGTGGGTAAAACAAGCGTAGTTTGACTCCGTCACATCCTGGGTGGCTGGATTGGGCCTACGTGGACCAGACGGGTATGTATAGTTTTTTCAGTTTAAATATACACATAACAAGTTCAAAGACTGCATAGAAAGACCAAATTACACCTAGCCAATCCAAATATACAAATGACGTCATAAAAAGTCATAATACAACAATAGCAAGTTCAAAATGTAAACATAGAAATCTCAAATGTAACACATAGCAAATTCAAATGCCACATAGCAAGTTCAATAAATGTAAAATGTAAATATGCTTGAACTAGAGTAAAAGGAGGCTAAGTGGGTGGTTGGCGGGTGCTCTGGAGTGGTTTGCTCCTTCTTTCCTATCTAACATATATCATCCTGATCTCTCCTCCTTTTTTGTGTTTGTTACTCTCTTGTAACACCTCTAATCTTCGGCACTTATCTGACCATATTGTGTTGCAAGTGCCGTAAAACTCTTACTAAAACTAAAAAGGAAGCTATAAGTATAAGAAGTGTATCAAGGTAAGAAGTAAAAGAGTTTGGGGTTTTTTGGCCTCGAAAAAGTTCGACGTAAGCCGTGTGGTGCCACAAGGAAGAAATCACGTGAAACGAAAGTAATAGTTAAATTATGTTGAAAATCGAAAAAAACAACCTCACATGTTTAACAGAAACCAATGGTTATGATACAAATCAACATACTGCCGTTATATTGTAGAACTAACTGAGTGAAATCTGAAGCCAGGCTTACTTTTGTTTACTTATTGTTGCACTACAAAACGCTGGGGCTTATAGGTTTGCATTGATCTGAAGGCTGCTGCCATTTTCACTATAGTCACAGCTTATGTTTTTTGTTCCATCATCTGGGCAAGTGTGAACATCCTTTGTTGATGAGTCAGCTGAGTGAGCATCTGGTCTTTTGCTTCACTGAGCCACGGTTTCAAATCGTATTTCCAAATTCACAAACGTTTTCGTAGATGTTAAGAAAAGGTGTGTAGGGGGTAGATATTTTTTCCCCAATCTATTGATGAGTTGCCATTTAAAGCCTGCTTTTGTGCACGAGCATTGTTACATACAAAGCATACTTCGTTGTGGGGATTGTTGGACCAGTTTTTTAGAAGGATGGGCTGAAAGGAAAGCTGTCATTCCCTCTTCTTGAAAATCGTGAAAAACCAGGCCACCCTCGTCACTGACTGCAAATTAGGCCCCTGTGGCATCGTGCAGTTCGGTCCCCTTCGACCCTGCATTACTAAAACAAAGCATTGACCACTCCGTGCTCTTCATCGGTTTGTATTCGTCAACGGCTTGCTACCAGCTTCCTCAATAAAGGCCAATCGTACCGCTAAATGTTCTGCAAAAGCCATGCTGCATATTGGTGTCTTATTGCTTCAGTCCTATCTGAATTTCTTTCCGCGGAAGCATCCTCGGGTTCGTTTTAATCGTGATCTATTCACCTTAAAATTAAACTGCTTATGGTTGTCGTCAACTCTGTTTGAGCACATTAAAATGGTATTCACGCTGAATAATCTTTGTGGAGGATATTTGCTCTTGCTATGTGGCATTTAAACTTGCTATAGTGTTACATTCTAATTTGGTATTTGTACATTTGAATTTGTTACGCACTAAAATTTTCTATTGTACATTTGCACTTTTTGTGAGGTGAGAAACTTTCTATGTGGCTTTTGAACTTGTTATGTGGCATCAACGATAGCACATAACAAGATGGTCCACTCAGCCAAAAAAGTGTCCGCCGGAAGTCCGCTCTTTGCTTCAGATGGCGCTGCAGTCTGTTTTGAAGCTCTCTTTAGTTTCTCCAGAAGAAGAATAGGAATAGCACTTCCTTGCGTGCGCAGATCGACTGCTGTTCATCAGCTGTTCGGGTTCGTTCAGTGCGGAGTTTTATTTTAATTTTTATTTTAAAGACCTCTCGCCTCTCATTCTAAAGTCAAATTAACCGAAGAAAAACAGTCGCCCTCTCCTCCGGAAGAGGTTTTTTTGTCAGCGAAACCATTTTAAAAAAGCGTCGTTTCGAAATTTGAATTCTTCTGTATTCAAATATTTGTTAGTTCTATTTTCATTTTTTAAACACAAGTAGGGTAACTCAGTTCGCAAAGGGTGCTCATTTGCAAAGAGGACGACACCGAATTTCGAGGACACTTTTTTAATTGGCTCAATGAGAGGAGTGGGCCCTCTTGTTATGTAGACTCTTTCGTGGCATTTGTGATTTTTATGTGTAAATTTGATCTAAACCCCCCCCCCCCAACTATATAAGGGTCGGTGGATGGACTGTAGGGCATGCTGAGGGGGCAAATTGAGAGGAAGACCAGGGCTAGGAAGTATGGACATCAGGACAGAGCTAGGAAGCCACTCGTGACAGGTCTCTAAACCACCAACTGAGCATGAGATTGATGCAGACGCTGCAATATCTCATGGTACAAATGAAGAAACGATTATATTAAACGTTGGGAGGAGCTGTACATAACAGGGCAGAGAAAGTAGCTTAATCTAGGTGCTTTCTTTGCCCTTGACACTACAAGATGATGATGATGATGATGATGACGGCTTCCTGGATCTGGGTCCTGTGTCAGGTCCACGCATGCCCAGTTCATCAAACCACCACCATCATCATCATCATCATCATCATCATCATCATCATCATCATCATCATCATCATCATCATCATCATCATCCTCTTTTACTCGTGTAAATGGTTTAGGCAGCCGAGAAGGGCTCTCCACCTATCTCTTTCCAAGGCGATCTTCTCTACCTCTAGCCAGAAATGCCCCATCAGTTTGAAATCTGTCTTCAGATCTTTTCCCATGCGCTTTCCTCCTTTCTTCTTCCCCTGAAGATTCCATCTCAATACTACCCGATGGTTCACTCATGTTTCTGAGATTCTAGAAAGCATATCTGTCAAAAATGTTCTTGGCAACATACTCAGTATAGAGTATCTGATCGAATTCGGGAAGTGGTGCATATTTTTGGAAAGAGTAGCCAATAAATCACTTCTATTTGAGAAATGAAACAAAATTATGTTTCGTCAGTTTTTGGTACTTTCCTCTTTCTTCTCGTTCATCTCTAAATTTACTTCTCAGTCTCTAGTGGTTAAGGCTGCTGTTCGCTGCAGGCCCTCCAAACTCTCCTGGAGTTCTGGGTATCTCTGCCTAGAGTAGGGCCAATATTTCCTCGAGAATTGGACAGGCTTGTAGTAGATGGTTTCATGTTTGGTTGCCGGTTTCGCACTGACACTGACATTTCTCCGTGTAGATGTGGAGTACCGGAATGACATCTATAAAATGGTGCAGGAATTGCCACAGGAAAAGTGTTTTTATTTTAAAAAGAGAGTGAATTCTTTTGCAGATATGAGTTTTTGTCTCCACTTTCTCGAGGATGAACGCTGAGCTCTATAAAAGATTTTGCACGCCAGAGTTTGTGCGTGTTGTGCCATGAGAAGGCGACCGGCGCCGGTGCGAGCACCATGGGAAGACACACGTCAAAATTTTGGGTGGTATTGCTTTGGCAACGGCTTAAAAAACTATCGATACATTGCAGTTTTTTCCCAGAACGATACTGCCTGTATTTCTTCATAAAAGCAAAGCCTGTATGATTTATAAAACAAAAGCTTTACGTAAGTAAATCCATCACACATTGGATAACAATCGTTTCATTACTAATTTGTGAAAACAGTTTGAATATAATATGCCCTATTGGTTTGGTCGAAACTGAGACAAGTTTTCCGATACTGGGTGTAGAAAAAAAGTCCAGAATCGATTTTCAGTGAAGACATCACTCATCACGTCCCATTCGTCTCGTCCCCGTCTGTACTTTCTGATTCCATCGCTCCGTCTTTGTTTTCCAAAACATGCCACGTGAGGACGAAAAACGCAGAGAGAGATCTCGAAGTAAAGGAAAAGGAAGCAGGTAGGTATAATCTCCGTGAAATGCTTAAGAGTATAGATCTAATAATAATAATAATAGAGTCTAGACCAAGATCTCTAGATCAGCTCGCCCGTCAAAGTCTGACGATGGCCAATGCATCTGCAGAGGATATTAAACTAAGAGAAACCCTCCCGTCTCATAAAGGGTATTATTTTGTAGCTTTTTATAGGTTTTTTAGGGCCTTGAACACGATTTTGGCATTGAAAAACGTCGCAAATTGTTAGTTTAGATGTTACGGCACTTTATTTCAGGGGGGGGGGTGAGACCCCCCTGAACCCCCCCCACCCCCCATCTGACCTACTACACTGCTATAACGTACTCACACGTCAGGGGGAGACCCCCTGAAACCCCCCCCTAATGTCTATAAAAGCATGCATTATAAAAAATATTCTAAAACTCAACCTTAACTAAAAAAAACTGACCTTATTCGTATATCCGACGGCACTAGAGTGGTGAAGGAGCTGACTTCCGGTAGTGGATGTGACGCAAAACGGGAATGCTTCTATAAAAATACCTACTAATTTTCAAGTAAAATAGAAAAATTGGAAGAATTAAATTTCAGTTGAGATGACTTAGATCTATGGCTTCTGCTGTGGCCGATGAGACAAATTCTGACGCATAAAAATTTTGGTAAATTTGTAGAAATACTGCCGTCTCTGAAACTTAAAGTGTATTATTTTGTAGCTGTAAACTATAGATTTACTAGATCTAGATCTAGAATCTAGATATCTAGATATCTATCTAGATTCTATATCTAGATTCTAGATGTAGAGATCTAGGTTTTTTTTTAGGGCCTTGGACACGATTTTCGCTTTGAAAAATGTCGCAAATTGTCGATTTAGTTAGATGTTACGGCACATCATTTCAGGGGCCACACTTCGAGCATTCAATAGCTTCAATTCCACTTGAGGATGTGTGCAACTGTCGGGCTTGTCGAGTAAAGTTTGAATTGTATAATTAATCTATTTCGAGTCGGCAAGGTATTCTCGTCTGTGATCAGTAATATGAATGATTATTATTGAATGTGCCCAATAAGCGGCTCATCCAATTAATGGAAATACCCTAGATCTAAGGTCTAGAATCTTAGATCTAGATTCTAGATCTAAATACGGACGTTGAATGTTAACAATTCAATTACATGTGTGGTCCAGCAATTAACCCGTCAACCTTTTGGATACAGTGACTCGTGACTCTAATACTTAACTAAGATGGCAGGGTCTAGGATAGAAGAGTGACACCTCGGTGTGGTAACGGTCCACGGATGTCAAAAGAACTAAGACTAGATCAACTATCTGTGACAAACGCACGGTTGGTTTTGGAACGAGAAAGAGAAAAAAAAACATAACAAGAAGAAAAAAGGGGAACAAGATGCCAGCAGCGAGGAAGGAAAATACTGTCTCAATCCCATACTCTTACATTGCGTAACCCCATTTTCTGGGACAGAAAATAAAGAACTAAAAAAACCCAGACCCCGATCCCCCTCTCCCTCCCTCTCCCCCCCCCCCCCCGAGACATAGATAGCTGGATTTGGCTGGGTAAACTTGAAACACGGCGACTCGTCAATAACTGGATACCCAGACTCATCAATACATAAATTGACGCCGCTGCTTACTAATAAATGGGTAAAGAACGACATCAATACAAGGACACCGTGCCTCATCAATAAGTGAACAAGGTGCTCATCAATAAATGGACACCGTGTCACACTAAGAGATGGACACCATGCCACTTTAATAAATGAACACCACGCCACATCTATAAAATCATAACTTTATGACAACGTTAATCTAAACGATGTGCTCCCAAACCCCCTAATCCCACCCCAGGAAATCTTCCCACAGCAAGCGCAGCAGATCCTCGTCTCGAGGTGCCATCCATAAGACGATGTCCGCTAGCCGGACCAGAGCCAGTGTCCACAAACTCATCTCTGGCGCCCCAATGAACGCAGTGCTGGTGAGTCCAGGACTGGGGCAACCGTGTTTGGTTTCTGCTGAGAGAATTGTTGAATCTAAGGACACGTGTAGTTCTAATGTCTCTGTGTATATATACTGGAAAAAAGTGCAACCCGAAGAAAATATGACCACTAACAAACAATATACCAAGTTGAATCCAATTTTGACGTAGAAAAAAAGCTACACGATTCAATCTAGGGATTCAAAGACAACAGTATTCTCTTGTTTGTTGTATTGCCTGTTGCTTGGTTATTTGGTTTCTGTCTAACGTTTCTCTGACGCCCTGTACCCATCTTTTCCTTGGCCAGCCTCTTCTTCTGTATCCTTCTGCTTTCTGATTGTATGCTCTCGCTGCTGCAACTTTGTCTGGTGGCGGGCTTTTCATGTCCAAACCATTTTATGTAGTGTTTATTTATAGGGATCGAGCCAACTTGTTCTCTGACTATCTATGATTTTTTTCCAGTAATGGGCACAGCCATTAACAATCAACGACAAATACATGTTTTCCTGTAACGTCAGGGTCCCGCCCTATGTAGTCATTAAATGCAATCAACGACAAATAAAATGTTACCTGTAATTTCGGTGCACAGCCCAAGGCAGTCATAAACGATCAACGACAAATACGATACTTCCTGTAATGTCAGGGAACTGCCTTTGGCAGCGGAGTGGCCGCCAAGATGCTTCAGGGCAGGGAATATAAAACAGGGCAGTGGACAGCGGTGGGCGAGGACAGCAACCCGTGCAAGAAGGAACTGGACGACTTCGTCTCTTTGGCTAGGTAATCTTTGTCGCAACCACACAACTACAGGCACGACTTGTGCCTCCAGATGCGCTTTAAGATATAATGGAAGACAAGATATTTGCAAGTCATTAAATCATATCAGATCATGTGTCACGTCGTATGACACATTATATCATATCATCCCACCCCATCTCATCATAATATATTATGTAGGATGTAACATTTTGACTGACACCTTTTGTCATGGCTGTTACAAACAACTCGTCATAATGTATCGTAGTATGTCCGCAAGAGCTGTGCTTAGTCTCATTAGCATTCTACAGCAACCATAAATTGAAAGGCAAGAAAGTCTTTGCGCTAGTGTACATGCTTGTGCCTATACATGTGTATGTGTATGGTAATGGTTGTGTGCATATGAAAGTATATGTATGGCTTTTTGTATGTATGCCTATGCGCGTGCGAGCTGGTGGCTGTGTTTATACGTGTGTATGTGAACGAGTTTGTGTGTGTGCGTGTGTGTGTGTGTGTGTGTGTGTGTGTGTGTTTGTGTGTGTGTGTTTGTGTGTTTGTACGTGTATGGGATTTTGTATAATGTGTATGTGTGTGTGCGCGTGTAGACGTGCCTATTGCTCATCCTCAAACTCAAAACTCTCCCAATCAATATATCCACAGCAACCAGCTTACAGAAGCCACCACCTGTGTCAAAGCTATCGAGCACTTAAAGAAATGCGTACTCACCAACCCAGGTATACTTTATTCCCAACAAGAGAATAGTACCGTAAAAAGTGTAACAGGGATGGTTATTTGTGCTTTATTCAAAATTGGCAGCCACTTGTGTGGCGCCGAAAGGGAAGGAGGGGGTGACAACAAATCTGAAGTCATTTACCAAGTCTTCGTTCTTTGGGTGTTTTTTTTTTAGTAAGGTTTTACGGCCCTCGCAACTGCATAAGGTCATATGAGCGCCAAGAGGTGGATATCAACAAAGACGTCCAAACGGGGAATCGGGCCTACTCTGCTCACTCCTGTAGCCACAACGGTACCCAAGTCTGCTTCGACTATCTAGGCACCCCGGGAATAGCAGTTCGCAGGAGAGTGACAAACATACAAAAGAAGTTGAGGAAAAAATGGCGATAGTAAGGATGAAGACGGAAGAAGCAGCAGTTCCCCCTTTGTTGTTCCGGCATTGTATGAGCATGACATTGATACATCTGAGGGATAAAAAAGTTTGGGAATCTGCAGGGGAAGACAACGTTTTGTAAACACCAAGGTCGTCTCAGCAGGATCAGCTCACTGTCAAATTGTTGTGGGGTTGAGCCTTGACAATTATTGGGCCGTCGATGGAGAGGGGACGACTATACCAAACTAAATTCTAACTAAAAAAGAAGTATACAGTGGATTATTTTTGGTCTCTAAAAACTAAAATTTATGAAACGCAGGAATGTGCTTTTACAAGAAGACTTGCCTCACCACTCAATTCTCACATCTAGCAGTGAAGAGGTTAAGTTGTCTTGTTTTTATGACAATTATGATGTTTAATACCCTCCCAAACACAGATTTGGTGGTCTAAGATCGATAAGAGTAGGCTTCGACCGCCACCCGGGCAAAATTCAAAATTTCCTACCAACTGAAATAGTTTAATGTGTCCCACACGCTCTTATGACCTTATGCAGTTGAGAACGCTGTAAAACACTTACCAAAAAAACTCCCAAAAAACAAAAATACCCCCCCCCCCCCACACACACACAAATGTGTTATTTCCGACTTGGGATCAGTAGTATGGGGTGTGGGTGGTTGGCGGGTGTTGTGGTGTGGTCTGTTTCTTTCTTTCTTTTTTTTCTGTCAAACATCAATCGTTCTCATCTCTCTTTCTTTTTGTGTTTGTTACTGTCTTGTAACATCTCCCCGCCCCCCCGCCCCCCACCTTTTTGGGGGTAAGTGTTTTACAGCGCTCGCAACTACATAATGTCATTTTGAGCGCGCGGGACACACTAAACATTTTCAGTTGTTAGGGCATTAAGAATTTTGCCCGGGTGGCGGCCGAAGCCTTATCTTATCTATTTTGGACCACCAAGGTATCTTTAACTCGCACAGCTTGCACAAGGGATCTCCGGGATTTTTTTGTCCGTCTCCGAGAAGGCAAGGTGTAGATCTTCCTTACCATAAGATCAGTTGTCTGGCTGAAAGACAGCACTAAGGGCTGCAGAAAGAATCGGGAGCCCAGTGGAGGGGGCAAAGAAGCTGAGGGGGTGGGGGCAGAAAGTTGAGACAGAAGCAGACGACAGAACATTGTTAAAGAGCAGGAAAGGATTTAAAAGGAGAACATTTTGAAAGAAGAAAATTTTCCGTCCCTATCCGGATTTGAACCAGGGACCTAGTGAATGAGAGGCGAACACCTTCACTTCAAGGCTACGAGAGCACCCTAACACCTCTAATCGTTTGCACTTGTATAACCTAATTGTGTTGCTAGTGTCGTAAAATTCTTACAAAATCTAAGGGAAAGAATAAACATTTTGGAAAGCATGCTTGTAAGATTTTAAAGGTGCGTACATTTCCCCGTATCAGACCCTATCCGATTATTTAGAAAGCCCATTCACAACGATGATCAAATCAGGTGTGCATATCAAAAGACTTGTCTATTCCTTCCTTTCTCTCTCTTCTCTTCCCCCCCCCTCTCTCTCTCTCTCTCTCTCTCTCTCTCTCTCTCTCTCTCTCTCTCTCTCTCTCTCTCTCTCTCTCTCTCTCTCTCTCTCTCTCTCTCTCTCTCTCTCCCTCTCCCCTTCATTGCTTGACTCCTCGATTCATTCCCAGCTTATTTCGGCAAGTGATCCCTGGTCGCTAACTGGAACATCTAAAGGTGAGTAGACCATGGACACACGTGCCACATTTGGCTTTACATTGTCAGGCGCACCGGCTTTTTTGTTCTACTGATGGGTCTCTATCTTGTGACTTCTAGGAATTCACACTCATCTCATCATCATCATCATCATCATCATCAGGTGCCTTGCCGACTGGAGGGGGCGATCGTGGACCTCCACTTCACTCTGTCTTACGTTGCAGCGATGGTGTCTGTCGTTCTTGCTGTTCCCAGCCATGTTGTCAACCGGTCCAATATCTTTTCGCTCTGTCTGCGTCTGCCTCTCTTTCCATCAAACTTACCTGTTGTTACAATATTCTCCAAAGCTTCTTTCCGCTATGATTGTCCAATGAACTTCGCCTGTCGCTTTCGTATATTCGTCATAAGTTACTGTATGCATTTGCTTCAACCAAGACTTCTTCCTTGTTTTTCTGTCCATGAGATACGCAGCAGACGTTTTGCGAACCAAAACTCTACCGACTTATCTGATACGCATGCTGACATTTTCTTTTTAATAATTTTGTACACCAGTAGTTTCCTATATCAACATATTATAAGGCTTTGAACATCTTGCTCTCCCTAAAAAAAAAAATTAAAAGCAAGCGAAGCAGCGGCAGACAGACACTTATTTGAAAAACCTGGACAGATGGTTGATGGGAAAACACCAGGATAATTTAGGATGTTTAAGAGTGTCCGAGAGGAGAAATAAATGGAGAACCCCAATCACCGATGTTTGTTTCAGGTCGGGAACTTTATGATGAGTTCCCTAGATCCATTGAAAATGTTCTGTCTATAATATTAATGATTATTATTATCATGTTCCAACAGTGTCAGCGTCCTTACAAAAGAATGTATGTTGGTTTGTTGCGGTGTCACGACAGCCCACGAAAGCAATGGCAGGCGTTAACACAGATATCTAATCTTCGATTTTCCCGAACAACATTTAGTGATAACACTGCACTTGACAAAACATAATTTATCTTCGATGTTATCGAGGCTCGTATGGAGTGGTATGAGGAAATAGAAAGATATACTGAGACGTCAGTCTATCTGTGAATCTATACGAACTATAGCATGATACATTTATCTCTTGGGTTTATTTCTGTTCCAACAAAGACACGTCAGCTTTCTGGAGCTACAAGTGCTGTCCTGTAGTCTGCCTTAACTCCAAAGTATGGAAATAGCATTTTACTATGGCTATATTATTGCTCTTATCTGTTTCATGTTTTTTTGTACATTCAGAATTCAATCTTTCTTGTAGGCCTGCTACTTGTGTTAAATTAAATTAATGATTTTATCTGTTCAGCCGATAGGTATAAAAATATTACGGGATGGGTGAACATCTCTTTCAATATTGTAATGGTGCCAAGAAGCAGAACCTATGAATTCAATGTCCATAGTAGTTAGGAGGAAGCCAAGTCCGGGGAATATAATAATATAGTCTTGAAACTTCCCAAATAAACCAAGGTCAAGGACACCTTGTTGGAGGTTCCAAGCGAGGTCACCCTCATGGTAGTCCGGCATGGCTGTTGGGGTGTGACCTTGAGCAAAAGACGATAACAAGCACGCAAGAAGAGTGGCCAGATTACATGGCGTGTTTGGTTGTATTTATAACGTCTTGGGTATTGTTTGACATGGACCAACGCTCGTTCTTTTCATTGTAACCCACATTTCAGCATCAACATTTATTCATTCATTCATTCATTTATTCATTCATTTATATATTCATTTGTTCATTCATTTGTTTATTTGTTTGTTTATCAAGTGTACGGTTCAATTGATGGATCCTAGGCATTTTCTGATGTCAGACTAAAGGTGTAGTTTAGTTTTATCGGGTAGTTTAGTTTTATCTAGTTTGTTTGTCTGGGTTGTTGTTTTTTACAAACTAAGTCAAAGCCCTACACGTCTACCAGATTCAACAAACAAATGCTGGGAGGAAGGAGCTGCGAAAACTCACAACTATGGCGTCTATCAACACCGAAGCTTTGAAAATAACTCAAGAACACGCGTACCAAGGTCAACGTTGACAGCGAGATATTCATGTCTTCTTCTACAAATTAAACGTATTGTCTAAAAATATGCAAACAGATTTACGTGTTTGTTTTTCACAAGTTACTTTCTATCCATCCATCGATCAATCCATCCATCTATCGACAAAATTATAACCCCCCCCCCACCCTCCCCCAAACAAACAAGCTCGGGGTTGTTGTTGTTTTTTTTAATTAAAAAAATAGATTCTACGCCGTTGCCAACCAAAAACGAGCGTTCGATTCTCTGGTGGAGAAGTTTTATTTTTATCTGGTATCTAATCTCCTTCTAGCTGCTGGTGTGCCGGGTTCCACCCAACGCGGCTTGGCCAAAAACTGTGTCAAGGGGGGCGTAAAATGAGATTTATAATCAGTAGAAATACAGAGACTGAGAGACCGAAATACACTTAATGATTATACTTGTATGAACCGGAGTGAAGGCTCAACACCTTCATGCTGTGATTGAAACGTGATCGCTGGTTTGCTAAAAAAGCATAGCGAGACAAGTTCTCCAACCCCAAGGTCGAGGTGCAAGGTGGGTGGTTGGCCGGAGCTCTGGTGTGGTTTACTTCTTCTTCCTATTAAAAATCTACCGTCCTTGTCTTTCCTCCTTTAATTTGTGTTTTACTATCTAGTGTCACTTCTAATCTTTGGCAGTTACATTACCTATTTTTTGTTTTAAGTGCTGTAATTTTTGTACCAAAACTAAATTAAAGTTAAAGGTGGATGCCGTGTCCAGAGACGGTGTTTCTAGCATAATTACCTCCCCCAGACTGGCGGCCCTTATTTATTAATATGGAAAAATATTGTATATGACTCTTTTCATCTATTCAGACGGTCAGTTTAGCTTAAGATGGTCTCACTGTTACTGTTATCCCCATGCAGGTTCTTTTCATGACTAATTCATGATTAATATTAAAAAGTATTGGGGAACAGCCAATTTTTCCTAGAACCATGCACAGTCCTGATCTACTAACTAAAAACTATCTAAAGCCTTTGTCAGATCGATGAACGCAGTGTAGTGTATGTGATGGCAGTTGTTGCTCCCTGTATTTTTTGTAGCTGGTGAATATAAAATATGTCCATGCTTGAACGGTTTGATCTGAAACCGCTTTGGCTCTCTGGTAGGACTCTTTCTGCTAGTTTCTGGAGTCGCTTCAGGATGATTCTAGCAAAAGCTTTTCCAGTGATGCTTAGAAGTGAGATACCTCTCTAGTTGTTGCAATCAATGGGAGAGCAAACATTTACGTAAATGTATTTACATTTGTTAAAACCCTGCATACCTGTAGGTGTTATCTAGGTTGACGTGTAATGACCCTCCAGCCTTCACGGTCGCAAGCTGCAGTGGCACATTCTGCTATACCCAGACCAGTCCATGCCATAATGTCCATCCATTTCACTATTTGTCTACCCCTGGATCTCCTACCTTTAAGCCCCTCTTTCTACTTTCTTTTTTTTTAATCAATACGAAACGGGCGTTAACCACGCTTTTCGCAAAGCAAAGACTGAATAACTTCTAATCTAAACCAAAGATCTAATTTGTTTAAAAAAGTGTGTTCGTCCTCCAGACATCTAGACAGGCCATTACCACTCAATCACTCCCCCATCTTCTACCACATCTTTCATTTGTCCTCATGCACTTTGCCACGACCTCTTCCTATCGTTCCTCATCCCTTGCACTTACCCCCCACATCCATCTTTTAGAAATGTCATCCTATAACAGCAGCTGACTCCCCCCTCCCGCCTCGACCCTGCCCCCACTCCCATACAACCCCACCCCTTTGGGGAGTTAGATAGATAGATAGATAGAGAGAGAGAGAGAGAGAGAGAGAGAGAGAGAGAGAGAGAGAGAGAGAGAGAGAGCGATACAGAGAGAGAGAGCGATACAGAGAGAGAGAGAGAGAGCGATACAGAGAGAGAGAGAGAGAGAGAGAGAGAGTGAGAGAGAGAGAGAGAGGGAGAGAGGGGGGGGGAGAGAGAGAGAGAGAGGGGGGGGGGTGAGGTGAACAGGCTAAACCATACTTGGAGTGAGATTAACACAGTTTTTCCTTGAGGAGATGGTCTTCTACTTCTACTTCTAAGTAAAGGTTAGGAAGTCTACTTTTAAGTCTGAACCATTCAGCACCACGCACATTTCCTTAGGTCGACGCTTTTGAGAACTTTTACCAAACACTTCCGGTTCCATTACAGACACAAGGGCAATGCCGAGAGGCCGGGGGTTCGGAGGTGGGCGAGGATTTGGCAGGTAGTGGAAACCTTGCGTTGGCAGTGACAGACGAAATCTCTGAAATCATTTCTTTTAAAATATAAGAGCTTTTACACCCTCATCGACACAATTTAGATCATTTAAGAAGCGGCTTTAAACTTTAACCCTGCCTGTCAGGACCAACGTAGACTAAAAGTAAAAAAGTAAAAGGGATACTAGATATAGATCTAGATCTAGATCTAGATCTAGATCTATATCTATATCTAGTTCATCTAGATCTAGATATCTAGATCTGGATCTACATCTCAGCCTGTGAAAGACCGAGATATTCGACAAAAAATTTCTTCACCCGGGAATCGAAAACGGGTCTCATGCCTATGATGGCAAAACACCTAATCTCTATAGCCTACTACAGACGCCAGTTGGTTCAGTATACCAAGCAGACTAAAGTTTGCTCTTAACAGCGCCAAAAATAGGAGGCCTACAAATTATTAATCATATTATGTAAAATTATAATTATATAGGACTCACAACACTGAACAGACCACCTTTTATTTGACGGGGAGGAACGAAAAAGCGTCCGGTTTGGGTTCCAAGATAGATCATAATCTCAAGGAGTTGTGTTGGACATGTTAAAATGTTTACTTTAAAGTTTTAGAGTGAATTTTACAGCACTTGCAACACAATATCATAATAATAATACATAAGTAGCCTACCCGAGATTAGATGTGTTGCAAGATAGTAACGCACAAAAAAGGAGAGAGATAAAGATGATTATACGTAGATGTTTGATAGGAAAGAAAGAGCAAACCACACCGTATCACCTGCCACCCACCCACACTTAAACTGCTAGTGATGGGCATAATCTCAACGCGTCAGTGAAGGGTATGCATCAGAGGAGCAAGTTAACGACTCCAAACTGTTGGATTACAACTTCTAGCTCCGTTTATTGTCAGTTTATGTTATACATAGTATATCGCTACTGGGTTCCTGTGCCAGTTTATGTTACATATAATATAATACATAGTATATCGCTACACTACTGGGCTCCTATGTCAGTTTATGTTATATTATATATTTATGTATAACATCGTTAACGGGTTCCTATATCAGTTTAAGATAAGATTCTTCTTTATTATCCAGATACTGGCAAACACACACACACACACACACACACACACACACACACACACACACACACACACACTCACACTCACACACACACACACACATACACACACACACACACACACACACACACACACACACACACATGCAGACACACGCAGGCTTACAGTCACTTGCCTAATATAAATGAACAGTATTATAAACAAAAATAATCTTAAGGTTCATACATACTCAATGTAATTGTTATGCATGCTCTAAGGTTATATGAATACTTGTAACGTATTTTGTATATTACACAGTATGTCGCTAAAGGGTTCCTACATCAGTGTATGTTATACACACAATGCATGTATAATATATCGCTTATGGGTTTCCTCTGTCTGTTTAGTTTATACATACATATATATATATATATATATATATATATATATATATATATATATATATATATATATATATATATATATATATATATATAATATATATATATATCATATCGCTAATGGGTTCCATAGGACGTGGTTGGCGGGTGCTCTAGTGTGATTTGCTCCTTCTTTCCTATCAAATATCTATCGTCCTTATCATTCCTCCTCCTTTTCTGTGTTTGAAAGAAAGAAGGAAAGAAAGAAAGAAAAGAAAGAAAGAAATGTTGGACCATTGTGTTAAAGGCCCTGGTTGGACTTATCAACCCCTCAGTGGAACTTTTCTGGACTTATTTTTCGGGGGTTGGAGGGAAAGGGGGGGGGGCGGGTGCGAGACTCTCTATCTACATGGGTAGGGCCTAGGTGGCTCTGAGGGGTAGGATAAATTCTGAGAACTCGCCTTTTACATGATCTTAGAGCGGTGATAAGGGAGTATAATGAAATCAAAAGAACACAGTAGGCTTACTCAAAGATTAGAATGTCGAAAACTAAAAGAAGAATCGAACAATGGCCATTAGCACCGAAACCCATTAATTTTAGTTTTAGCAAAAGTTTTACGACACTTTCAACACAATAAGGTTATATAAATGCAGAAGATTAGAAGCGTTTCACAAGAGTTAAGGAACCACTATCGAGAAAGGAAATTGCTGCAGCTAAAGCATCACTAAGTCCCACAAGGCAGCTGGTCCTGACCATATACCACCAGAAGCCATAAAATAGATAAAGATACATCAGTAGAAATTCTCAATGTTCTTTTTTGTTTTTGCAAGTGTTTTACGGCACTCGCAACTGCATAAGGTCATATGATGAGCGCACGGAACACATTAAACGTTTTCAGTTGGTAGGAGATTTTGAATTTTGCCCAGGTGGCGGCCGATGCTCTACAGTATTTGAAAAGGTTTGACAAGAGCAGAAATACCACCAGACTGGAAGGTAGGTCCCATAATCAAGCTTCTAAAGAAGGGAGACCTTAGCAATGGTTACAACTACAGAGGCATTTCCCTCCTTTCCATACCTGGGAAAGTCTTTTACATGATACTCCTGGAGAGAATCAAGCTGACAACAGATGAGAAGCTCCGAGGAAACCAGGCAGGATTCTGCAAGAACTGATCATGTGTGGACCAGATCACTACTCTGTGCATCGTGGTTGAGCAATCGATTAAATGAAATTCACCACTTGTGGTCAACTTCATTGATTATGAAAAGTCATTTGACAGCATGGACAGGGAAACTCTTTGGACATTCATGCGGCATTAAGGAATACCTTACAAAATTGCCAATCTTGTGAAGGTTTGCCAAATCTTCTATGAAGGACAACTCTTAGAACCATTCCGGGTACAGACAGAAGTGAGATAAGGATGCTTGCTCTCACCTTTTTTCTTCATACTGGCAATTGACTGGGTCGTGAAAGAAGCCACTTGAGGCAAGCGTAATGGAATACAGTGGACCCCTTGGCAGCAGCTGGACGACTTAGACTTCACCGATGATCTTGCACTGCTCTCTCGCACACATGCTCTGATGCAAGAAAAGACCAAGGAGCTCAAAAGCCAATCAAGGAGTGTTGGCCTATGTTTACATCCTGGCAAGTCCTGGAAGAAGTGGGCTCCTTTATCTACCCCGCAAGTGTCATCGATAATAAAGGTGGAACCGGGGCAGATGTAAAAGCAAGAACTGCCAAGGCATTGTCAGCATTCAATCATTAGCAAAAGTCTGCAAAGCAAGCAACATCTCACTGCGCACCAAGATTCGACTCGTTTCTTTAACTCCAATGTCAAGTTTGTGCTCCTCTTCGGCTGCGAAACTTGGAAGACAACAAAGATAGTACAGAATAAAGTCCAGACTTTCATCAGGAGATGACTTAAGAGGAAGGATTGAATAAGAAATGAAGAGCTGTGGGAAAGGACAGGACTAAAGAGAAGTAAAAATAGGACTAAGAAAGTGGCGATAGATGGGACACACTCTCAGAAAGCCCAGGGGAAACATCACAAAACAGTCCCTGCTGTGGAACCCACAGGGAGCACGAGGCAGGCGTAGGCCACGGGAAACGAGGAGATGTATGGGAAGGAACATGAGAGAGATGATGCTCACTTGGAACGAGCTTGGAAATAAGGCCCAGGACAGAGATAGATGGAACTTATGGAAGAAGCTTGTATATGTGGCCTATACCCTGCCAGGGGTGAAAGGCATTGATGATGATGATGGTGATTAATGTTTGTGTATTTATGTAAGCCTATAATTTAATAAATTTCCCAATGGGATCAATAGAGTGGAATTTGTTACATATTACTGTATTTCAAAAACACACATGACTTCTCCATCCTCACAGATCGCCCTCCCCGCCCAGACGGTCCCAGCGACCAACGCCTCCTCCACCACGGCGGCCACCGCCCCCTCGACGCCCCGCCCCCTACACCCCACCAAGAGGGGGCGGGGCGGGGATAGGCGGGGTTATAGCTGGATCGTTCATTGGCTCGGCTCTGGTGAGTGTATACATCTTTTCAACAATTCTGACGTGTTCATCAGACCATCGTTTGTGTAATATACTGCTAGAGCTACACATGCCGTTTTTAGTTTAGCTTGAGTTATAATTTTAAGGCACTTGCAATGCGAATAGGCTATATGTGCCGAAGATGACCTTGGTTAACCCAAGCCGGCAGGGTAGAAGCCCACCCCTAAATGATATAAAATAGTGTGAACAACTACTATAATCTTTATCTGAAGAACCCCCCCCCCCCGGAAAAAAACATTAAAAATTAAAAAGCATAGCCCCCCCCCCCAAAAAAAAAAAAGAAAAAAAAAAGAAAACCGAACAAAAACTAAAACAATTAGGATAAGCATTACCCTCCCCTTTTCCTCAAAGCTGGGTGTAAAATTAAGCTCAGACAAGACGAAAGAGGAATCAAGGAAAGAGTTATTCGACTGAACTTTTGTTAACTAACACATATTATATGGTGGACAGTCTCCCCCCCCCCCCCCCCCCCCACACACACACAAACACTTTCCCGTTTTTGCACAATAAACTGTGCATCTTTGACGTCTCTACCCGAAAAATTAATGACCTTTGCTCTCTCTCTCTCTCTCTCTCTCTGCCCTCCCTCTCTTTCCTTGTGTGTGTGGGTGAGTGTGTTTATGTGTATGTGTGTGTGTGTGTGTGTGTGTGTGTGCGTGCGCGTGTTTGTGTGTGTGTGTGTGCGTGCGCGCGCGCGTGCGTGCTTCTCTTTGATTAGTAACAGATTATTTGATTTTGAAACTCTTGTTCTACTACCCATGCCTGATTAGATCTACGTCCCTCCACCAACACCTTATTACGTCACTGCCTCCACCCAAACCAAAACCTGATTACGTCACTCCCCCCTTACCAATGCCTGATGACGTCTCTCCTCAGGGCAGCGTCCTGGGGAACGCCATCTCGTCGCGGATGTTCCAGGGCCGTGACCCAGACACCGGTCAGTACGTGGACGACGGGCCGGACAGGAACCCCTGCAGCAGGGAGCTGGACGTCTTCTTGGCCTGTGCCCGGTGAGGGTTTTTTTGTTTCTTTGTTTGTTTTTGCCTTTTCTGGTTTGTTTGTTTTTTGGTAAGTGTTTTGCGGTGCTCACAGCTCATATGAGTATGATCATGAGCGTGCGGGACACATTAAACATTTACAATTTGGTATGAATTAATTTAGAATTTTGCCCGGGTGGCGGCTGAAGCCTACTCTTATCGATTTCAGGACCACCAAGGGATCTTTAAGGTGCACAACTTACACATGGGACCTCCGAGATTTTTCGCCCTTATCCAAGAAGGCTAGGTTTAGAGGAGCCAAAGAATAGCCCTAGAAAGGCTGCAGAAAGAGCCCAGGGAAGGGGGAGCAGAAAGTGGAGATGAGAGCAGACGACAGAACATGATTAGAGAGCATGAAAATTGAAAGGACAAAGTTAATTTAGAGAAGAAAATATTCCGTTGCTGTCAGGTTTCGAGCCCAGGACATATTGATAATTGAATGAGAGGCAAAGACTGAAACTGTAACCTCAAGACCACAAGAGCCCCAGCCCTGTGAGTAGACACAGCGGTACAAAAACATAATGTGCCCAGGAGGAAGATAATGTTGAGTGCAACCTACATGACTCTTGACTCTATATCCTCTGTGATGGTTAGATCCTACTTCCTTTCACCCCTTTTTTTCTTTTTGTGTACTTAACGTTTCCCCTGCACTAAAAATGACTGTCATTTCGTCGGCGTGCTTCTCTTCACTCAAACAAGATTTTTCTTCATTTCCCAATGAATTTACCCCTTTCCACACTTCTCCCTGGGTGGTTGGCGGGTGCTCTGGTGTGGTTTGCTCCTTCTTTCCTATCAAACATCTATCGTCCTTATCTCCCCTCATTCTTTTTTATGTTTGTTACTCTCATGTAACACATCTAATCTTCTGGCGCTCATATTACATTATGCAGTTGCGAGTGCCGTAAAACCTCTACTAAAACAAAAAATACTTCTCCGCCTCTTCACCATCTAGCTACGCCGATGACGTGTCATACTGCCAGAAAGCTGCCGATGCCCTCAAGGAATGTGCTGACAAGAACAAAGGTGAGTGTTTGAGTTAACTTAAGCTTTAGTAAGTGTTTTACGGCACTTGCAACACAAAAAGATCGTAAAGTGCCGAAGAATGCACATGTTTTTAAGAGAGTATCATACAAAGAAAAGAAAGAGGATGATACGGATGACAGACATTGGACCAAGCTATAATATTAAAGTACCCGCCTACCATTCACATTCAATATGTTTGACACTGGGTAGAAGGATGGTACCACGGAATACATTGATAAAAGGATGGTAAACTTCTGAATACTGAATAGAAAATCATTGGTGAAATAGCAGTGTGCTCATTGAACCCAGATACTGACACGACTTATACTGGGTCAAATAAGACATTTTTTCAAGGTCGCATTTCACAAGATAGCTTCTCTTGATAGCCGCAGCTACTGTACAGTGCACAGTATATTCTCTCCTCATCAGGAGAGGAACGGAACAGTAGGGAATACATCATGTACATGTATCTTAAACTCTGTCCATTATCTGCAAGTGTTGACAGGCAAGATACCAGTGCCATGGGCTAGTTCCGTGCATGCGTGCCTGTCAATAATGTGTGTTGCTTAGCCCGTCTTAGTGCGTGCGCTTGCGTGTGTGTGTGTGCATGAGTGCGAGTATGAGTTAGTTTGAGCATGGGAGCGCACATGATCCTACGCAATGTCGAATAAAAGTCCTCGTTCAACAGAGCGTCAAAACAATATTATCATGACAGGGAGCAATAACTAACCCATAAATTTTACAAACGCCATTTCAGATTATTTCCAGGATATGTGAGAGACCAACATCGCCCAATGATGAACAACTGATCCCGCACTCCAACTGGCACAATACAAAGTCATTAACAGATTCCTCACCATCCAAACGTGTCAGAACTGATACACATGTCAACGATCATGGTTCTCCATTGATTTCTCCGCTCAAACGATCTAAAAAAAAAATCCCGACATCTTGGTGTTTCCTTGTCACCCATTGGTTTGAGTTTATCAATAAGTTAACCAAACACTTTTCTCCAAACTGTAAAGGATTTACTAAAATAAAGTCTTGTCTAATTATTTACCAAACAAAGAGAATAAAAAACAGTCGAACACTCGGTGACTCTCAGTGTCTCTCATACAATTCTTTATTTTCTATAAAATTTTACAATTTTTGTCTACCCCAAAACCAAACATTTGAACCAAAACTCACAGAAGAATACATCATAGAAATTTTGTACATTCGGGAGTCATTATGAGGTGGAGGTTTAATCACCCTGCCACAAGGTCTCCTCATTATGTGCCCCCACCATGGACCATCCCACATTTGTGTACAGTGCAGTTGAACACTAGGATCAAGACAGACAAAAACATGGGCATGAAACTTTGGAGCACAATCAAGCCCAAAAAAGATTCTCCACGTTGGGTTTACATTGTAAAGCAACGTGTACATCTGAGAAAGTCATTTGCAAAAAATCTCTGTTGCCACTGAAATAGAGTAAATGAAAGTTTTCCTGGAACAAAAATGCAAAACAAAATTGACATCAGGAATAGGGAGAACAGCATGCTGAAAAACAGGGGTGTCATCAACGGGACAGGATTCGCATGGCAGGCAAGGTGGGGCAATGTTGCCAACTGTACTGTAACTCAGTGGGAATGTCTAACTTCTACGGAAAATGTGTTGATAAAGAGAGTGGGAAGAAGGGGGGAGGGAGGGAGGGCAAGGGAGAAAGGGAGAGAGAGAGAGAGAGAGAGAGAGAGAGAGAGAGAGAGAGAGAGAGAGAGAGAGAGAGAGAGAGAGGAGAGAGAGAGGGAGGGAGGGAGAGAGAGAGAGAGATAGATAGAGAGAGAGAGAGAGAGGGAGAGAGAGAGAGAGAGAGGGAGAGAGAGAGAGAGAGAGACTGCTCACACCAAAAACGCTTCTTTTATTATTCCATAAAACAATTTTTTTAAAACCTACCATTACATGGTGAAATTAAAAAAACCCTGTTTTGATCAGTTTCAAAACCAACACAAGCAGAATCTTTATCTTTTTGTCTGATAAGAACATTTTGACCTCTGATAAAACTGCCTATGTATCCACATGTTTGCACAACTGTTATAATGCCTTATCACTAAGTATCATTTGACAGTTTTGTCACATCATAAACTTTCCATAATAAATCCCTGTTGGACAACGACATATAAATCGGGCACTATCATCGCATCAATCATCGGCTGTGCTTGTGGTTTTCTTTGTGTTCAGGGCAATGTCCTTGACCTTGCCTAACAAAACAGTCATGGAGTTGGCCACGTCTTTGAACTCGGGCAGATTTTCTCCGTCGGGATCGGCCTTCAGCTTGGCATGTCGGACTACGAGGTCTGGAAGAGAGAAAAACAAAACAAAACTGAGAAAGAGAGACGGTAGAGTTTGAGCCGAGGACTTAGTGTTACTTGTAAGACAACAGTGACTTGTGGGAAGGTCTGGGAATGTAGGCCTACTGTCAGCCAGCTGTTAAACTGTGTTAAGCCCTAGATTTACAAAAAAATTTTAAATAGCAATTTCTTAATCTGTGTACGCTCAATAAACATTTAGTCGAAATTCAAATTCTAAGTCCTTATGAAGTTGCGAGTGCCGTAAAACTCTTGCTGAACTAAACTAAAATTCTAAATGTAAAAAAAAAAAACCAGGAAAAATACATAATCTGCGTACAATTGTTAAAATAATGAAATAGTTTCTTTCTCCGGAAAAATTTCGCCATCTGGGCTTGGTGAATTTGAACAACTTGGCAACAGTAGACTGATCTGACTGGTCCAGTCTGTATGATCAGGGTAATAACAGGCCACGGGGAAAACCAGACTGGCTGCTTTGCATCCAAATATCAAGACGTCTACATCTAGCCCTCTGGCCTTGATGAGCAACAGAATTACCCTCCCTTCTGGTGAGTGGCAAACAGCTGTTACAGACCCTACAGTTACCTCGACAAAGCTTGGTTTGCACACGTGAGTCAGACTGGACACAGTCAAAGCAGTGAAGAAACCTGGCCAGCAAGGTTACTGCCATTCCACAAATTGGCAATTTTGTTAGATGTCCGAATACTAGGCATTCCCATCCAGAACTTCAAACTCACATTTTAAGCCACAACAAAATTAAGCTGTGAATAATGTCTGGCAATAACCTTTAACCAACTGACCTTGCATCTGGGTCAAAACCTCTAGTTTGTCGGCCTCTAAATGTGTGGTCAGGAACTGCAAGATGGTTGGGACCAGGCGGCCCGGGGCGTGAAGCATGCATTGGGTCACCGTCTGGAACAAGACGACCACACAGAGGTGAAGGGTCATTGCGGGGTCAGTCTCCTCCCGCAGCTGCTCCGACAGACTTTGGCGATGATGGAAAACCAGCTGTCTGTGAGGGGGAACAAAAGAAATACAGTCAAATTAAAAGATATCGTCTTGACTTTTGATTTGTAATTTGATAAAGCAAGACAGCTCAGGCTCACCACTTGGGAAATAATTTTCTGGTTAAAAATCAGAACTGAAGTCTGGTGTTCTCTAAGAACAAGCTGTATAAGCATCTAGCCCACCTGAGAACCAACTTTTTTTTCAATCTCCCTGACGAATTCTATTCTGCAATGATAATAATAAATACGGAGGCCTAATAATTAACATTATGTGGCACACATCACCGCTCAACAGCATGCTCTTCGTGCTTTACAATCTATATCATTACCCCAAATGACTCCAGAACACTCTGAAACTTCTTGGCTTCCCATGAAGCATACAGTGCAAGCATCAGGGAAACAGTGGGATCCAGCGACCTACCTTTCTTTTCTCTTGTCAGGTTTTTTCAGCAGGATGCCCAAGTGGGCGGGCCCGCAGAGCGTCTCGAGCTGAGAGAAGAAATCCTCCAGGCTCTGGCCGCTGAGCAGACCGTGCAGACGACTCAACGCCTCCTGCAGCTCTTTGGGCAATTGTCCGATCAGTCGAAGCCGAGCCTGGGAAATAGAGGGTTTATTAGTACCTGTTTTACACCCTCCAACCCTCTCCCAACCCCACTTCTGAGCCTGGGAAATAGCGGATGTCTTAGTACAAGTATAAAATCCCTCATTACCGACCTTCCTAAGAGTAGACTTGCATGTGAGCCTCAACCAGATTGTTTGAAAATTTTGCGCACCCCCCACCCCACCCCAAATAAGAGCTTTTGTGGGTGTCATAAGGAAGGACTTCCGAGTAACGAGCGACCACCCCAACAAACACAGAAGAGACCTGACCGTAACCCTACCCCTAGGCCTACCCCAAAAAAGAACCTGCAACGGTTCTCATGTAAAAAGGCCAGCACATGTCCAAAATGAAAAAATTTAAAAATTTAAAAAACTACACTCCAAAACAAACAAGGAGCATAATATGGCCTACATCTCCATTGCTATAATTGGGTTTGATACAATAACACAATAGAATTGAAATATGAATCCTCCATATATAGATCTAGTAATCTAAATAAATCTAGATCTAGATCTTGTAGAACAAATGAATAGGAATAGGCCTTGAACTAGAAATCCGCATCCGCTTCCGAACAGAGGGACTCAGCTGAGTCTAGATCTAGTGTAGCTAGTGTAGATATCTCTCTAGATTCTAAATTTATAATTCACGCACCTGATGAAATGCTTTTAACCAACATTAATATTACAGCACAACCTATGATAGGGTTTGACACAATAGAATTGGAATATGAATCCTCCATTGAGGATCTATATAAATCTAGATCTAGATCTAGATTCTATTACAAGTGAGTCGGACTTGAATGAATCCACACGATCTGAACAATTGAATTAGTCAACAAACCCAATTCAAAATGGCCGCTCGAGCAC